TATAAATAATGAATTTTTTTAGAGTATAAGTTAGAAATAAGATAAATATATATATTTTTATTATAAATTTATATTAAAAAATAAAAATTAATAATTAATTTATTAATTATCTAATTAAATTTAATCATGTGACAATAAAACTAAAATTAGATCAATTTTTACATTTTTTTAACAAAATTATAATAAAAAGATGCTTTTATCTTTTATCAGGTGTGTGGAACACAGGCTAGAAAACCCATAAATAACTAGTGCATGCTTTCTTTATATCTCTACTCATATTTTTGGACAAAACCCCACAAATTGCCCTTCAACTTTTCGAGCTTGAGGCAAAATGCCCTCCACGTTACAATGTATGAATATTTGCCCTTAACCTTAAATAATTTGAGTAAATGAGGAAAATATTAAGGTCCTCCCATTACCCTCCGTTTCCCATTTACACCTCAATGCCACCTGGACACTAATTTTACATGTAAGTAGCTCACAAACCATGCGAATCTCATTTTAAAATCAACTGAAAAAGTTATTGGCAAACCCTCAAATCCACCCTTAAAAAAAATCAGTAGAGACAAATCCACCTCTCACAAAAATAGAGGAACAAATTGCCTTTCCAAATCAAAAATCAAGACAAATCAACCATTTTTTAATGTTTTCTATTAAAAAATACTGACATGGCAAACAGAATTCTAACGTTTTTTGTTAAAGAATGTGTGATTTATCTTGATTTATCATTTGGAGGAGTAATTTGTCCCTCTATTTTTGTGAGGGGTGGATCTGTCTCTACCGATCTTTTTTAAGGGTGGATTTGAGGGTTCTGTTAAAGTTATTAATGACATGGCACATAATGATTGGCCAAATAAGCAAACCTTAAACTTTTACTACCAATTGGAATTACTATCATCCACTTATTTTCTTCATTTGTTCTTTGCCCATTTTCCCTATTCATCTTCTTCCCATCTCTGGTTCCTTTCTTCCTTCCTTTTCCAATGCATATCCTTCTCGCCTCCTTTGTCCTCTTCTTCTTCTTCCTCTTACAGCCCATCACCTTTGCATCTTTGGTAAGGATTCAAGCACATCTTTCTCCTCCCTCTCCCTCTCTTCCCCCTCCTTCCTTTCTTTCTGTTCCTGCTTCTTCCTCTCCATGCGAACAGAGGTTTTGGGTTTGATGGAACCTAGATCTGGGTTCACCCAAATCTAGGTCGCCTAGATCTGGGTTCAAGAAACCCATATTCCAAGGTTTCACGAACCCAGATTTATAGATTTTTTTATTTTAGCAATAGCTGACAATATATATATGTATTTTCTTGATGAACTTTTTTTTCAAATATTCTGGTTGTGGAATCAAAATTTAATGTTATGAAATGTACAAAATTTTGTTTATGTGGATGATTGAAATATGCTATGAAATTGTGAGTTTGAATGGGGAAAATGGTAGAAGCATATCTGAAGAAACAAGAACATGGGCTTGAGTTTGCCGGAGATGGAGATCCTGGGAAAGAAGAGATTGAATGAAAGAGATGATGATGAGAGGATAAATGTGTAATTTAATTTTAATTTATAAGTCAGAGTCAGAGAGTGGGATCCACAATTAAATTATTTGGTGGTATATTTCTCCCTAACAAGTAATCCAAGCTAGACTGCCAACATGTAAAACAAGGCTTACATGTCACTGACCTGTACATATATAACGAAAATTAACGATGTACATGCTATACGTGATCCCTCAACATTAAATATTACCTCATTATGATAAATTCGAATACCAAAAGGGTATAAAAATTATATATTGTAATGTAAAGGGTAAAATCCCACACACTCAAAAAGTTAAAGGGTAATTTGTGGGGTTTTGCCCATATATTTTTGGGGGCAAATTTTCCTACTAATTTTTACTTAAATTAAAAATCATTAAAGCCGTTTAAAATCTGTACGTTACGCTCACCCGGCGCGCGTGAAAATGGCTCCAAAGTCCGACCGAGTCTCGGCATCGCCATCCCCGAATTGTCGTGCCTACTCACTCACTATTAATTTATTTATTACTCCCGTCAAAACCCAAAACCAAAGACCTTTCAAAATTTTCTCCAGATTGGAGCTCGCCGGAGCCCAATTTTCCGTACTCGAGCTCTGAGCTCCTCCGACTTCTCGAGGTCATCTCTTCCCCTGCTCACATTGTAGTTTCTTTTTTCTGTATTTATTCGTTTCTGGTTCTATTTTTGGTTTATTTATCCTTCTTGCTTTTTGTTGTGATTATGCTGTTTTTTAAAATCGGGTCGCGGATATTAGAATCGAGCGAATTGAATGTGATTTTTTGATTTTCTGTTGAGTTCGATTGTGTTTGGTTTGATGGAAAATGTAGGAAAATGCCTGCCTGCTTGTTTCCATTTCGGCACTATCTTCATTTCACCCTCTTCTCTGTATTGTCTGTCTCTTAACCTCGTTTTTCCCAGATATCGAAACTCTATTTCATCTTGATTTATCTGGATGATAGAATGAAGACAGTCATGGATTATCCTGATGATGATGTATTGAGGCTCGATGTTGCTTGTGTATTTTAGGTTTACATATGGATTAGGGGATCTTGTTTCTTTATTTATTTGTTCAGTTCCATTCTGTTTGGTTAGATTGGAAAATGGTGGAAAATGGCTGTATGCTTGCTTGGAGAATATTGTTGAGATTATGCACCATTTTCTGTGAACATCACATTTGTAAAATACATTCTTCACCATTGTACACACAGTATTTGATGTTTTAAAATTGCTCTAATCTCCAGGTTCCCCTAAGAATGGATTACAGTTCAAATGAGGACTCGGATATGAGTGAATCTGAAATGGAGGTGTATGAAGCTAAATCTTATGAAAAGCTGAAGAAGGGAAGTCACCGGGTGAAAATATCTGAGCAAGCTTATACTTGTCCTTATTGCCCAAAGAAGAAGAAGCAAGATTATCAGTACAGGGAACTCCTCCAACATGCTTCTGGTGTGGGGAATAGCAATTCAGAGAAAAGAAATGCCAAAGAAAAAGCAAATCACCTAGCTTTGATGAAATACTTGGAAAAAGATATAGTTGCTGCTAATGGTTCATCAAAACCTGTGGATGATGGCAATCCTATAAATGGTTATGGGCATGATGAGAAGTTTGTGTTTCCTTGGATTGGAATTGTGGTTAACATCCCAACTAAAAAGTCAGAGGACGGGCGAACTGTTGGAGAAAGCGGATCCAAGTTGAGGGATGAGTATATAGCAAGGGGGTTCAACCCAATAAGGGTTCGCCCACTTTGGAGTTACCGTGGTCATTCAGGAACTGCTATAGTTGAATTCCACAAAGATTGGCAGGGCCTCCACAATGCCAGGTCATTTGAGAAAGCTTATGAGGCTGATTGGCACGGGAAAAAGGACTGGAACAAGAATGGTGAAGCAAAGATCGGTCTTTATGCTTGGGTAGCCCGAGCTGATGACTACAATTCAACTGGTATTATAGGGGAGCAACTCCGCAAGATAGGAGACCCTAAAAGCATTTCTGAGATTATGGAGGAAGAAGCTCGTAAGCAAGAGAAACTAGTATCTAATTTGACAAACATCATTGAGGTAAAAAAACAGCATATAAAAGAGATGGAAGAAAGATGCACCCAGACTTCATCGACTCTTGAAAATGTAATGCAAGAGAAGGAAAAACTCATTCAAGCTTATAATGAAGGTATGTTCTGTGACCAAACTTGAGTGTTCTTGCAGAAAGTGGATAATTTGACAAAAATCATGATTTAATATTCACAATGTACAACTCTGCAATTTCTTAATTGTTAGAGAAGGTTTCTTGTTTATACATTTCAGATAGAAAGTACCATTAATTTATTCCACATTTTGCCCATATTGACAGAGTTGAAAAAGATACAAGTAAGTGCCAGAGACCACTTCCAGAAGATTTTTAGTGACCATGAAAAGCTTAAGTTTCAGCTAGAATCTCATCAAAGAGAGCTGGAGTTGCGTGGAGCTGAACTGGAAAAGCGTGAGGCAAAAAATGAAATCGACAGAAAACAGTTGGCTGAAGAAATTGAAGAG